GGAGACCTGCCTTCTGTGGGGTCCCAGCGCTCATGGCCGCAGCATTTGGGCTGAGTGGGAGCTCTGTTCTTGCCGGTGCAGGAGTCTTAGACAGGGCTCACCCCTGGCCTGACCTTCAGGAGCTTCCTCACCCCACACCCCAGGCAGGACCCGTGACAGAGGCTTAGTGGCAGGGTCTCTGCACTGTGGTTCTGGAGCTGAACTGGGAACACTTCCAGGAGCTGCTCTCAACAGCTGTGTGCTATCCTGTGGGCCTAGGGGCAGGACCTGGCCCCAGGACTGAGCACTCACAGCCCCAGGGTCCCCAAGCCTCATGTGGATGGTGGCAGGAGAGGAGGGCTGGAGGCCTGGCTCCTTGCCTGCCATGCCAGGTGAAGGCCATGGCAGTGACCAGCAGCTGCCCCAGGCCACTCACTGTTTGTGAAACACAGCGTTCAGCGATGGACTGGGCCGGACTCAGCTGGGCTCTGTCCTTGCCTGTACTGAATTGTCCCATTCCCTTGTGGGAGTGGGGATGGCAGACCGAGCGGCTGCAGGGTGGAAAGGGCAGTACCCCTCTGAGAAATCTGGGCTCTGCGGTGGGGAAGACACAGCCCCTGGAATGACACAGAGCCCTGCCATTTGTTACTGTAGCTTAGCCTCCTCTGCTTTGGTTTCCCTGTATAGAAGTGAGGCTGGCACTAGCTGGATGTGGAGAGGGCCCTGCAACAGACTGCTGCACAGTCAGTGCTCCCTGATGGTCTGGAATGGGAAAGCCTCCTGATCATTCTTGTGATGTCCACGGTGCAGGCTCCTGGTCACGGTGACCAGCCATGCTGGTGCAGCCCTGGATTTTTGACCCGAGCTCCCTGACCCTAGACCCACATGAAGCACTTGTAGAGCTGCTGCTCTGGGCACAGCTAGCCCCAGGTGGCCTTCACAGAGCCTGACCAGTGTAGCTGGTGGGGCCCAGAAGGAGGGGGATGCTTGGGGCATTTGGAGTTAAATCCCATGACCACTCCTCCCTTCCTTCATGGACTGTGTCTGAGTTTTCCTTTTCCTCTGTTCAGACTTGCTGCTGCCCCTGGAGGAGCCCTCCCTTTCTTGGTTAGGAGACACCTGCCTGCTGGCTCACAAGTGAGTTTGGAAGGGAGAGGAAGAGGGTGGAGGCAGTGTGGAGGCAGTGTGGAGGCCCACACCCTGCCCTGTGGAGGGAATGGTGGGGTGTAGGTGGGGAGGTGGCGTGTGGGCAGAGAGTGTGCTCTGCCAGGCGCAGTGGTGTGGGCCAGGCCTAGGCAGGACTGCAAGCCAGTTATGGCAGAATGCAAGTGTTCTGGGTTGGCCAGCTGTGCATGTATGCGAGGGGCAGCAGGCTTCTCCCCCTGGAGGAGCCACTGTGGCCCCCCTGGGGTGGTTCTGGGACTGCACCCCAGTCACGTGCTGAGGGTCCCCAAGCAGAAGGGCATTCGCCAGCAATCAGTAGGAGCTGCTTAGTGTCCAGACCGTGACTCATAGCTGAGGACAAGGGGTGGAAGAGTAGGGGACCTACTCTGCATGGGGTGAATCCCCAGCCTACCTGGGTAGGGAGGATCCAAGGAGGCCCCTAGAACTCCTGTCCTGTGGGGGGAGGAGGAAGCACCACCACCCAAGGTCCATCGTTGAGCTGTGGTCCCCTGCCTTGTGGGCCTCCAACTTGCATATGCCCTTGGGCTGCCAGCTGTCCCAAGTGGCATTTGTCAGGAACATGAGCCCTGGCCAGGGTCCAGATTAGAGAAGACCACTCTGGAAGAGAACTGGGCAGGGCACCAGGTGGTTTTTGGTTCTGCCCTCTGCCACTCCTCCGAGCTGAGGTCCTCTCTGTGAAGTGGGGTATAGCAGAGCCGTTCTCTGTAGCCTGTGACACGCTGACTGCAGACCCTGCCCTGCTGGGTGTCTCCTGAGATAGTCAATCTCTGTCCCCCAATCCTGCTGCCCCTTTGCTTCCCAGATCTCTTTCTGCTGCCTTTTCCTGGCTGTGCATGGCACCCCCAGTGCCTGTGAGACTCGCTGCCCAAGGTCTAGGGTGGTGGGCTGCATGCCCACCTGGGGCCTGAGCTGGGCACACCCTGAAACAGGCCCGGGTGCTGGGTTCCTCCATTTCAGGCTTCTGAGACCAGCTAGGAGGGAGCACAGCTGGGAGGAGGTCCAGCAGGGCTGGGGCTCAGGGTTCACACTGCTGACCTCCCTAGGCAGTGAACTTAGGAAAGGGGAGGTTGTCCCCTCACCTCTGCTTGTCCAGGAGCAGACCAATGGGCTGCTGAGAGCCGTGGTGGTCAAGGCCTCCTCAGTCCTGGGCCTGTGGCTCATCCCGCTCCCTCCTGTCTAGGATGAGCCAGCTGAGGCCGCTACTGTCCCGGCTTGGGGCCCAGGCTGTCAGGCTCCTGGCCACACGGGACATCCTGGAGAGGAGCTGGCACAGCAGGTCCTCAGGGTCCCCAGCTGCCTTCCCCAGCAGCCCAGGCGGAGGCAGCTCCAGTTACATGGAGGCAATGTACTTGGCCTGGCTGGCAAACCCGCAGAGTGTGCACAAGGTCAGCACCCCACCCTGAGGGGGGAAGGGAAGATTTTGGGGGCAGGAGTCCTCCGTGGGCCCTGTTGTGAGAGGGCCCATCCTCTTATCATGGGAGAGGAGAGCTTCCTGCCTCTGTTGAACCAGATGGTGGGAGGTGGTCCTGACGGTACCCTGCTCACCTGGATGAGCCACTGGCTCCTCTCACATGCCCGGCTGTCCCCAGATGCCTCTCTTATGCTGTGAGGGCCTCTAATGTTTATAGCTGCATGATCTGGTAGAGTAAATGTTAGATCAGACCACAGGGGGAAAATTGAAACTGTCCTCACGTACTCTGCAGTCATGTGACCCAAAACCCCCAAAGGAGGAAAAGTCAAAAGGCTCTATCTAAATTCACCCCTTCGCTGTTCAGACCCCAGACTGCACCTGCCCTCTAGTTTATTCTTAGTTTTTCTCTTTCTCTAACTTTCTTTACATGAACTCATTGCAAAAAACTAGATTTCCTCCTCTTACACAAAACTAACATGAACCAGTACTGTTTTGCTCTTTGCTTTTTTGCTGAGCAGTCTGCCTCCCAGCTCGATCCATGCCAGTATGTAAAGAGCCCAGTGGTTGCTTTTCCTAGCTGTGTAGAATTCCACTGGATGGATCTGCCATCCTGGTCCTGGGGGACAAGTGTCCTGTTTGCTGCCACACACGTGCAGCTGTGTGTGGCACACTTTCCAGGGAGGGAGGGAGCACCTGTGTGTCATTCTATGAGCACTACCAGGTTGCTTTCTGTGGGGGTTGCTCTGCTTGGTTCTACTGGCACGGGCGGAGTGAGCGGAGGAAGCACTTTCACACCTTCTCCAACATGGCAGCACCCACATGTGTACACTGCTTGTCCCTCTGTGTTTGCCTCACTGCCCTGTGCAGCACCCACATCTGCAACATGAACCTGCCCGCTGATCTTTTAAGATGCACAGTAGTCTAGACTCCAAACGTGGCTTGAATTTGTTCACGCAGCTTTCTCTTGATAGTCCCTTGGGGGCTTCTGTGCTGTCACTTTTACAGTCCTGCAGGGAACATCCTGTGTGCACATCTGGGCACACTGTGTGAGCACATCTGTGGGATAAATGGCTGGCGGCAGAGGTGCGGTGCAGAAGACTCGTGCCTAGGTCCCCTGTGCTCCATAGAACCCTCACAGCAGGATCCCTGAGCCATACTCACCTGCCCCCCCAACCTCCACACTAAGCTGCGTCCTGAGCAGAGCTGGCTCGGGGTGATGGGGTCCCCAGGGATCAGCGGATGCCTCCTGGGCTGCCAGCATGGGCCACCCAGCTTCTCCGGCCCTGAGTAGGCTACTCCTTGCTTCTACCCGCCGGCCCCAGTCCTGGGACAGCTTCTTCCAGAAAGCCAGCCAGGAGGCTCCACGTGCCACCCCTGAGGGCAGGCCCATGCCTTCCAGCCCGACCACAAACAGCAAGCTGGTGGAGGACCACCTGGCCGTGCAGTCCCTCATCCGGGCCTACCAGGTGAGCCAGTGCCATCTCCCCAGAGGGCCCTCTTCGGGGCGATCCCCACGTGCCCCTGCCCCTCTGGCTGCCTGTGGCGCACCCCCATCTGGAGCACCTTGCACCCCCAGGAGGTGTGCTTGCTGACCTGCCGGCTGTGTATGTCTCCTATGATCTTGCACACACCATTCCCTAAGGACCCAGAGGGACACAGTGGACAATTGGCTTCCGATAGCCTCTCCTTGGTGTCTGTTTTCGCCCTAGACTGGCCGCTCCGGGAGGACAGGGCTGGTATACCTTAGTGTTTATGGAGTGAATATTTCCCCCCCACCAGCTGCTCCTTCTGGAGCTCTGGGCTCTCCCACACTGGGTGCCAGGCTGAGCACCTCTGCTGTTGGTATTCCCACGACATCCTCTATTCTTAGGGGACCCCTGCCCAGAGTTCATGCCGTGACAAGCACACGCTTGGGCTCTCACCAGGCACTGGTGGCAGAGGCACTTTGTAAGGGAAACCTGAGGTGCAGCTGGACCCTGGGGAGCCAGGGGTCCTTGGCAGGGCCTCAGCTGCTGAGGCATGGTCTGGAGCAAGGGGTGTGAACAGATGGAAATGGTGCTGTGCCCTGTGGGGCTGGAAATAAGGCCTGTACACCAGCTGCCTCAGTGGGAGAGGGCAGGTGAGCAGGCTGGGCTCCCTCACTGGCCCAAGGACCCATTGCCAGGGCCAGCCTCATGCAAATAGCAACCAGCAGTATAGGCTGAGCAAAAATTCAAAGCTGTCCCAGATCGGAAACTTTATGCATCTTGATGCAACACCAGAGTGGAAAGTTCCATGCCTGACGTCGTGGCGGGCACGGTCAGAACACAGGGACACTGGAAATATAGTGCCAAATCACTCTCAGCCTGTGTGTACAAGGTGCATGTGAAGCATGGACGAATTTTAAAGTTTTTCATTTTTATTAGTACACTTTTGCAGTACATAGTGATCACTGCATTGTGGGGAATTGGTACCTTGAAACAACACATCCTAATTCTTTTTACTTCCCTTCCCTTTCCCTCCCACCCCACCACCACCCCCCAGTCTCTTGGTCCTCTTCCCTTGTGCAAAGGATCTATCCCTGTTTCCTATGAGTATCTTGTATTTTGCTCTTTATTTATACTCTGGGTTTCTCGGGCTCCACCCCAAGATACCTCATTATGAATATGCAAATATCCCCAAGTCCAGAACAATCTGAAATCCCAAATACATCTGGTCCCAAGTGTTTGGGATGGGATTCTCACTGTGAGTGTGTTTTCCGGGCTGGCTGAAAGGAGCAGAAGGCTACAGAAGGGCTGGCTTTGACCAGGAAGGACAAGGACCCATGTGTTAAAGGTGGAGCATGACATGCAGGGTGCTGCCCGGGGTTTCACGTAGCACAAAGCTTGACTGCAGTGGTTCGTGGTCTTTATTTTGTCCAGACAAAGCCCCAGGGTGGTCTCTGGAACCAGGAGTTGTTGCTGTGTCCTTGCCTGGTAAAAGTCTGTCTAAAGTCTAAAGCAAGAGGAGCACAAGTTAAACCTGGCTTGGGTAACTTAGTGGCCTTAGTGAGGCCCTGAGGGGTGGGGCGCCATTAAAGCTCCTGAGTTCAATCCCCAGTATCGTAGGAGCAAAAAGTCTGTTAAAGGTAGAGGAGCAGCTGGGAGGACCAAGTTCTGGTCTAACCCCCTATAGGCTGCACTGAGAAACAAATGTAGCCATCAATGTTTGGAGACTTAGCAAAGGTGGAGCTCTCACTCACCCCATTTCACTCAGGAGCATAGCTCAGTGGCAGTCACTGGCTAGCACAGGTGAGGCTCTGGGTTCTGTCCCCACTGCTGATAAAAAATGAAAACCTACCATGATAGATATCACAACTAAAATAACAGTAATAGTCCCTGATAGCATCAAATATGCAGATGATACTCACGACTGGCTTTTGTCTTGGGGGTTAATAGGGATGGAACCCACACTGAGCTGCACCCTTGCCCTTTCTCTTTTATTTTGAGATAATGGTCTTGCTAAGTTGCTCTGGCTGGCCTTGACTTAAGGTTTTCCTCCCTCAGCTTCCCACTATGCTCAGCTGAATTTTGTCTTATGATTTGCTTCTAGTGCTTGTTTGAAACACATGCCCAGTAAACTCGAGAGCTGCAGTTGTTGGTGTGATTGTTTAGCCTCCTGTCCTCTCCAGGCTCCTCTCCATTTCTTCCTGTGTTCCTTGCCAGTGTTTGTGGAAGAAACAACGTTGTTTGTCCTGTAGAGTTTTCCTGGGTCTGGGTTTTGCTGATTGCATTCTGATGGTGTCATTTCACCTGTCCCTTTGGCCCATGTGATTTCTAGAAATCGGTAGTTGGATCTTGTGGCTTGATCCAGTATAGATTTGATTTTCCCTCGAAATGGGACTTTGGTAGTGAGAAGCCATGGATAATACAGTCATTTTTCATGGGGGCTTGTGGAAGTGGGGACATCTTCCTCTCTTTCCTTCTTTGTTTATTAAACACTGCTATCAGAGTTAAGTTCCCATTGTTGCTTGTTTATCCTGAGGTACATGTCGTATAGAAAGGGTGATGTCATGCTTAGTGTTTGCTCTTATTGACTAATGTTCCAACATCTGAGGTGGTTCCCTCACATCCTTCAAAAGTGCCTAAAGAATTTTTCTTTTTTAGTATCATGTGAACCCATTTGATGAGTTTTTGTTTTTTGGGGTTGTTTTTTTTTTTTGGTACTGGGGCTCAAACTCAGGACCTTGTGCTTACAAGGCAGGTGCAATGCCACTGAGCTAAATCCTGGCCCACGATGAGTTTTAATCTGCTTGCAGATATCATATATGTCATCTTTCCAGCCTGCATGTTGAGCTGTCCTATACCCCCTGCTGTGACAGATGTTCTGGGTTCATCCTGCACACTTCTGCCCAGCTCAGAGCTGCCTAGGTCCTCAGGGAGCACCAAAAGCATTCCCTTTGTTGGTCATTTCAGTGGGCAGAGGCAGAAATGTGCATTTCTTAGAACAGTGGTGAACGTTACAGATTTATACCAATGTAACTCCATGCTTCAGATGCAGAACTCGGGCTTCATCCTTGACCTCATCAATCTTGGAAACATCTCCTTTCAAAGATGCCCAAAATAGAAGTCCTCTGGGCCGCCAGCACAGTGGCTTATTTGATTTCTCTACAACCTCATGCGACAGTCTTGGGATAACAAGTCTAATGCTGTCACTACAGATTGATAAGAGAAAGAGCTTATGGATTTTTCCCTGAGGTTCTGTGTCTTTAGAGAATACTGCATTAACCATTTGGAATAGTCTGTGCCGCAACCTGGACGTACTCACTTATTTTTGCTTTGTTTTACTTTCAAGTTTAAAACTTTATTTTATAATAACAAAATATGAATAAGATTCTAAAATCAATCTTGACAGCAGGATATATTCTTAAAAGTCTGGCTTCTAGCCTTGACCCTCTGCCCTCTTTTGTCTCATCCCTAACTTCAATAATTGTTCTTATTTTGTGACTTACTGTAGTGTGCATACTTACTTATGCACCCACAAATGCATGTATTTCCTTAGATAAAGGTGATTCACTGTATGTGCTATTCTAGAATTTGTGGAACCTGCCTCATGAAGGGGTAGGGAATTTCCTCACTCCTTAAACAGCTCCATCCCAGCTACTCAGTGTGTGTTTCTCTTACCTGTGTGCTGGATCCTGTTGGTGGATACTGGAGAAGTTCCTAGAATGACATGATTACTAACAGGACTGCAGCACAGGGCTGCATACCTTTGCCTATAGGTCTTTTCTTAGGAATGGGACCCAGAGCCTCACACATGCTAGGCTCAGAGCTATATCCCCAGTACTTTTTATTATTGTTATTATCCTTATTTTGAGACAAGGCCTTCCTAAGTTTCCCAGGCTTGGACTTGTGATCCTCCTGCCTCCACCTCCCTAGTAGCTGGCATTATAAGAGTGCACCACCACACCAGGCTTCATGTTACACTGTGAAACTGGGAGGACCTCCTGTCTCCTTGGTGGCCAAGGAGCTCCTTGGCAGCAGCATCTGAAAACTTCAATTCTGAAGCTGAACGTGTGGAGCAGGAAGGCTTGTTCAGTGGGGACCCAGCATGGCCTTGCCCTTTATCCTCCTCCCCAGATCCGGGGCCACCATGTGGCCCAGCTGGACCCCCTAGGCATCCTGGATGCAGACCTGGACTCCTTCGTGCCCTTCGACTTGATCACGACCATGGATAAGTTGGGTGAGAGTTGGGTCCCCTCCCTGTGGCCAGGCAGCTCTAGAGCTAGCTGGCTCTGGTGGCCCAGTGGGGTTCCTGGGCCCAGAGGGCAGCTTCAGCCCATGGTGGCTCTGGTGGTGCCCCAACCTTTGCCATCTACTGCACAGTGCCCCAGGGGACATCTTCCCATATTCCCAGGCAGGGCACCACATCAGACAGGGAGCAGGTTTCCAGGGCTCGGCTCTGTGGCAGGTGGGCTGACCTTCATTTCTGAGCTCCAGGCTGAGCATGGAGGGAAAGGGCTGAGGGGGGCCTTGGATAGTCCTGGGATGCCATCCCCCAGGCCTGACCCCATCTCCTCCTCCCTCCCTGCTTCCTGGGACTCCTTCCCCAGCCTTCTACGACCTGCGGGAGACAGACCTGGACAAGGAGTTCCAGCTGCCCACAACCACCTTCATAGGGGGCTCTGAGAGCACGCTCTCACTGCGGGAGATCATCCGGCGGCTGGAGGTGAGCCAGGCCCTGGAGCCTGTGGGTGGGAGTGACACTCCCTTTCCTAGTCTGGAGCCAGGCCTGCTTGCCCTTTTCCCGGCTCCTATACCCTAGAGCACCTACTGCCAGCACATAGGCCTGGAGTTCATGTTCATCAATGATGTGGAGCAGTGCCAGTGGATCCGGCAGAAGTTCGAGACCCCTGGAGTGATGCAGTTCTCCAATGAGGAAAAGCGGACCCTGCTGGCCCGTCTGGTGCGCTCCATGAGGTCTGTGCTGCTCAATCTGGTGACAGCTGGCCTAGAGCAGAGCCAGACAGGTGGACAGAGTGGGACTCCTGGAAAATATGGCAGCAGAGGACAATGAGCGAGGGCTGGAGCAGCAGGATGTGGCTGTGGGATGATTGCGCAGGAAGCTGCCCTGGTGCAGAGAGTGTGGGCGCCCCCTGGTGGTAGTGGTTCCGCTGCCCAACGAGGGCTCAGAAGCTGGCTCTGCCCTGGCTGCAGGGGTTGCAGGGGTTTCCTATGGACTTTGCACTCTGCTGGGTGGGGTCCTTGGAGGTTGGCAAGCACCCTCTAGTGTGGGCAGAGGGTGGAGGCCAGGAGCAGGGGGATGATGACCTGTTGGAGAAGCTGGGTGGGAAGAGCAGAGAAGGGAGTCTGGGTAGTGGGCAGGGGTCTCTGTTGACCATGGGCTCCTTGCTGGGTGGGAGCCATGTGGTGTCCAGAGCGGGGCCTGAACTGTGTGGGAGAGGACGATGTGGCCCTTCCTCTGTCCTGGATATCCAGCTCCTGCTGACTGTGAGTGCCCCCCCCCCCGCCGCCACTACAGGTTTGAAGACTTCCTGGCCCGAAAGTGGTCCTCAGAAAAGCGGTTTGGCCTAGAGGGCTGTGAAGTCATGATCCCCGCCCTCAAGACCATCATCGACAAGTCGAGCGAGATGGGGATCGAGAACATCATCCTGGGCATGCCACACAGGTGGGCTGCTCCTCCCTCCCAAGTTGACATCAGGATGGGGTGTTGGTGGGACTTTGGGGTAGAGGTGGTAGCCTGGCAGGATCTTGAGGTCCCTGGACCCAGCCTGCTCACCAAGAGCCAGGTGCTTGGCAGTTACACAAGGCCAGTGACAAGCAGGTTCTCTGGGCCTCCCTTTCCTCTGGCCATGTTGCCGCTCTCCTCTGAGGGGCAGGGTTTCAGAAAGGGAAGCACTGGGTTCCCTGTGGTCAGGAGATGTGGAGGGTGCCTCCCAGGGAAATGGGGGCAGGGCCCGGGAAAGTAGCCCTGTTAGCATCCCTGGAGGGGTCTCTGGAGATGAGCCAAGGGCTCTGTCCCAGTGCTGGGCCCTGGACCCTGGGGCAGCTGGAGGGGCTGCTCACCAGCCATCTGGGGATGGGATTCCAGGGTCAAGGCCGCAGGACTTTCCTGTGGCTGGGCTGGCCCAGGGCTTCATGACTCTAGGGTGTCTGGATGCATGGTGTCTGGGGTCCTGCTGGGGGCAGCGGCAGGGGTTTCTCATCATGTCATGGTCCCTGTGCTCTGAGCAGCTGAGTGTGCCCAGTGTCTGGGCAGAGGCCATGCAGAGCTAGCCCCGTACCTGAGGTGGCACAGGCACATGAGACTGCAGATCTCAGGCCAGTATAGCAGGAGAGGTGGGTGACTGGTGGGTGTGGCCGGCTGGACACTCACTGAGGAGGGATCTGGGGACAGAAGGCTGTTCCGCCTGGGCCTAAGCCTCCAAGTGGGCATGGGGACCTGGGACTGGAGGGCTCTCCCCAGACAACTAGGGGTGTGCATCAGGTTCTGGCAGCCCCCCAGGAGAGGGGAAGGCTGGCCTGAAGCAGGGCTGTCCCTCCTACAGGGGTGAGGGGCTGTAGGTCTGCCGGGGTCCCTGTAGGCCTGGGGCTGCTGGGCTGTGAGAAATGAGCTTTAGTTGGCCTGGGCATCTATACCAGGCTGTGCCCACCCCTGAATTCAGAACCCTGGTGGGAAATGCAGTCTTGGTGGGAGAATCCTTGTCCCTCAGTGCATACCTCAGCTGCCCAACAGGTTCTCTGGCAGCTCGAGCCTGCTCTGACTGAGTTGTTGCAGAGGCACCAAGGTCTTGAGTGTGGTCAGCATCCTGGTAGGGGGATGAGTGGGCACCTGCCGTGTAGCCAGGTGACTCCCTACCCCCGAGGGCCTCCTGCATCACCAGTGTCCAGGTGGCAGAGCTGGTGGGACCCCCATGCCTGGAGGTCAGGGCAGGATGTGAGGGCCCGGAGTCCCCATCTGTCTCTGGTGGTCCAGGCCATCAGGGAGAGGGGCAGCATGGTTGCAGGAACATTGACCTCGGTGCCGGTAAGAGCGCAGGCTTCCGGTCCCAGGGGCAGGCTGAATGTGCTGGCCAACGTGATCCGCAAGGACCTGGAGCAAATCTTCTGCCAGTTTGACCCCAAGCTGGAGGCTGCAGATGAGGTGGGTGCCACACCCAGGTCCCAGGATCCTCAGAGGGCCCAGTGTTTGGGAGGTGGAATGGGGAGGGTCTGGGCTGAGACAGACCTGGATGTGGACAGACGTGGATGCAGGAGGGGAGAGGCTGGAGGCTTTTGTGAGGTCTCCTATGCTTTGGGGAACAACAGCTGCTGCCTGTGATGGCCAGGAGGGCCCTCAGGTAATATGGTGAAACTGAGGCCTGGAGAAGTCCAAGGGCCTGCCAGAAGCCCCTCATTTCACCTTGTGGCATGGGCCCCTACCTCACAGCCCTGTCCACCAGCCAGAAGGACCCCTGGGAAGTCAGACGGCTCCTGTGTCCCTTGCACCGCCAAGGACTTGGTTTCCACTCCTATCATGCCTGGCTGGTGCTCGTGTGGTACGAGCCACACACCTGCAGTCCTGCCTGTCTCTACTCTTGGTGGCGCTCCTGCCCCTCCCACCTCTGTGTGGCTTTGCTCTCAGCATTGTCTCTTTGCTGGAGTCTCCAGTCTGCAGCTGCATATGTGGGTGCTGGGCACTGTGCACGCTGTGCTCCTGCCTGGCACAGCCTAGGCCATAGAAGGCCTGGGAGCCACACTGGGCCCTGGGGTCTCCTTGTTCCTGTGCATTCGGAGCTGCCCCATGGAGGGCATCTCATGTGAGAGTGACTGTGCCCGTTGCGTGGCCCTGCAGGAGCTCCCTGGTCACAGCCCATCCTCCCTTTCCTGCCTCCTCCTCCATGCTTGCCAGTGTGATGGGTGTGAAAATGACCTCATTTTAACAGTGCTCTCTCACGAATTCAATTAAGTATTTTCTCACATGTTCCGGTCATTTGTATTCTTGATCTGTAAATTCCCCTTCATGGCTTTGCTCATTTTTCCAGGGGTTTTGGGGCTTTAATCTTACTGATTTGCAAAGGCACTTTGCATACAGAGGTCATTAACCCTTTGCTGCATATGTCTTATTAAAAATTTCCTCAGTTTGATTCTTGCCCCCCCAACACGCTGTTTGGATTTGCCTCCCCCAGCCATAACAAATTTATTCCATTTCAGCTGGCTTGGCTCTTACAGTATTGGGGCTTTGAATATTATTCAGAAAGTAAGCCTTCTCCTCCCTTCCAGGCATGAAATATGTCCTGTTTTACCCTGGTACTACTGTGGCTTTGATTCTTTGGTATGAGGAGTGAGGTAGGGATTCTGTCTTGGACTTGTCTTTTCTTTTTTTTCTTTTTGCAGTACTAGGAATTGAACCCAGGACCTTTGCACTGAGCTATATCCATCAAAATTTTTAATTTTTGAGATACTCTTACTAGGTCTCCTGTGCTGACTTCTAACTTTCAGGAGGCTGCCTCAGCCTCCCGGAGTGCAGGGATGACAGGGATGCACCATCACACTTAAATAGCTGTGGTGTTTTCCCAGAGCCTGGCTTACCACAATTTTAAGGTCCCTGCCACTCCCCGTGGTCAGTGACTCTGGTCAGCCCTTTCTCCTGGTGTGTTGGTTTCCAGGCTGAGGTCAGTCACGCTGATGTTGGAGGTGGCTGATGAAAAGGTGTCTTTGATGCTACTCATGGCCCCTTCCCTCCTTGGGCCAGCCTGAGGGGCAGAGGGTCAGTGTGACCAGGAGAGATGGGGCAGGGACAGCACAGCCTTCAGGAGGGTCAGGAGTGAGAGGTGGCCCAGCCTGGTGTGGGCCGTCTCCTGTCTGGTGCAGAACCCGAGGAGCTCACCATGCCCCACCTCCGCACTCAGGGCTCCGGGGATGTCAAGTACCACCTGGGCATGTACCATGAGAGGATCAACCGCGTCACCAACAGGAACATCACCCTGTCCCTGGTGGCCAACCCCTCCCACCTGGAAGCCGTGGACCCTGTGGTTCAGGGGAAGACGAAGGCAGAGCAGTTCTACCGAGGGGATGCCCAGGGCAGGAAGGTGTGCACCTGTGCTCAAGGGTGTGCTGGACCCTGGGGTATTGGGTGCTGTGGGACGGTGCTCTACAGAGCTGGCCCCTGGGGGATGGACCTGGGTCACATGGTGAAGGGAGCAGGTTAGTAGCACAGGGTCCTGCTGGACCACACCCTGCTGTGCAGGTCATGTCCATCCTGGTGCATGGGGATGCTGCCTTCGCCGGCCAGGGCGTGGTCTATGAGACCTTCCACCTGAGTGACCTGCCCTCCTACACCACCAATGGCACTGTGCATGTTGTCGTCAACAACCAGGTGAGTGCCAGGCTTTGTGCCCATCTTGACATCACGCAGTGTGTGGTGGAGGAGGGGGCATCTCTCCCTCTCCCTGCTCTGCCAGAGTGTGACCTCAGGCAGGGCAGCTGGCCCCAGCCACAGGTCCTGGTCCGTGAAGTTGGTAGGGGTGACACATGTATATAAAGACATGTACACACGTGTACATATACACACATATGCAGTTCACTCTATGTCTGCAGGTTCAACCAACTGTGGATCAAAATATTCAGGAAAAAAATCGAGCCTGTGCAGAACATTCACAGGCTTTTCCCCTTGTCATTCCCCAGACAATACGGTGTCAAAACTACCTGCACAGAATTTCCGCTGCACTGGGTTTTGCACCTGAGGGTGTCAGAGGTCACACACAGGTTCTGGACCATCTCACCTGAGGGACTTGGGTGGCCATGGTTTCTAAACCTGGCAGTGTCCTGGGTCCCATCCTGAAGGCACCCAGGGACAGGCATGTAGCATAGAGAAGGTATAGGAGAAGGCGAATAGGCATGGTGCCTGGCTGCGAGTGAGCCCGGGGGGAGTGGTCCAGATCCAGCATCATGTGCCCTGGCACGGAGGCCAATGTAGTCAGAACCAGCTCAGCTGAGAGCCCAGGAAGCCTGGCACTGATGGCTAACTTGGTACTGCCCTGTCAGCTTCCTTAAATAACACTGGGAGGCAGAAGTCTCACAATCCTCCTAGATGAGAACACCGAGGCTTTAGGGTAGAAGGACCTCACCTAGGGTATTTGCCTCACTGGCTGGTGGACAGAAGTGTGCCAGGCCTGTGTTCTCACTGCCACCTGGAGAACCAGCTAACAAGCGGGAGCAGCACAGCCACTGCTGCCCTGGCTGGCTTTGGGGTGTCCCTGCTCCCCTGCATTGTCTCTGGGAGCACCCAGGCTACTTGAGCCATCCAGTCTTTGAGGCCCACATCATCTGATGCGAAGCCAACAGGAAAGGCAGGTGTGGAGGTACACACCTGCTCTCCCAGTGCTCAGGAGTCTGAGGCAGAAGGGTTGCTCAAGCCTGGGAGTTCAGGACCAGGCTGTCCCAAAACCAGACAGAGGCTGCTGGCTCTCCTCCCACAGATTGGCTTTACCACGGATCCCCGCATGGCCCGCTCCTCACCGTACCCCACGGACGTGGCCCGCGTGGTCAATGCACCTATCTTCCATGTGAATGCGGACGACCCTGAGGCTGTGATCTACGTCTGCAGTGTGGCAGCCGAGTGGAGGAACACCTTCAATAAGGACGTCGTGGTGGACCTGGTGGGTTGGGGGCCAAGGCTGTGGTGGGCATGAGTTTCTGCCCTGGCTGCACTGAGCCTTTTGGATGAGCAATTCAGGGCCTTCAAGAGGCATTAGTGCCACGGCCCAGGTGGGGATGGTCCTTTGGGGGTGGGAGGTGGAGGCTGGCACGGGGCACAGAGAGATGGGTTTGGCAGTGGCCGCCCTGAGTCCCCGCCACCCTGCAGGTCTGTTACCGCAGGCGAGGCCACAACGAGATGGATGAGCCCATGTTCACGCAACCGCTTATGTACAAGCAGATCCACAGGCAGGTGCCCGTGCTGAAGAAATATGCCGACAAGCTCATCTCCGAGGGAACTGTCACCCTGCAGGAGTTTGAGGTGGGCAGGCATGGGTAGGGACCTGGGCTGGTGGCAGGTTTGGAAAAGTAGCTGATACAGTCCTTGTCCCTGAGCGTCCCAGGTATCACGAGCAGAGTGCTGAGGTGTGATTGCAGCTGTGTGGGACACAACAGCCACTGAGAGGTGGGGATGCCAGCTTCAGGCAGCAGCTGGCAGTTACCCTGCAGGTCACCAGCCCTGGGATACCTCGCAGGGACACATGAGCTCTGCACTGTAGCCACAAGGTTCCTATAAGCAGGGAGAGAGCTCTAGGCCTGTGGATCTGGATGGGTGACTCTGTGGGTGCCCGGGCATCACTGCCACCATCCGTGCCTGCACCTCTATCACAGGAAGAAATCGCCAAATACGACCGAATCTGTGAGGAGGCCTATGGCAGGTCCAAGGACAAGAAGATCCTGCACATAAAGCACTGGCTGGACTCCCCCTGGCCTGGTGAGCAGGGGGTGCAGAGGGGCCTGGCACAGGGTCAGGGTCTGGTGTGGCCCTGATGAGAGCATTCATCACCCAGCATGGGGCCCTCTTGCAGATCGAGTAGGTGGGGTGGAGGGTGTGGTGGGCAGCTGGGACCCCAGGTTGTGATGTGGCTGCCTGGCTACTGTAGATCCAGGGTGGGCTGGAGAGCTGGGGCAGGGAAGTCGCAGCCCTCGGTCCTGTCTGGGCATCAAGCCCCTGCCACACGATGTGGATGGTCTCTGTGTCCCCATCAGGCTTTTTCACTGTGGACGGGGAACCCAAGAGCATGACCTGCCCCCCCACGGGTGTCCCTGAGGATGTGCTGACCCACATTGGCACTGTGGCCAGCTCTGTGCCCCTGGAGGACTTTAAGATCCACACAGGTGAGGTTGCTCTGCAGTTCTGGTGCAGCCGTGGTCCCAGACCTGACTGTCCCTGTGGGGAGATTGACTGAACACCAAGAGAGGCAGTGTGATGCATCCCTGCTCAGCCCCTCCATGCTGAGCTCAGATCTCAAAGCTTCATGTGCATGGGGTGCCAGGGACAGTTTCTGGGGCATCCATGAGCCAGGCAGGGGAGCAGGGCTTCCATGGAGAGAAGGGAGGCCTGGCAGGACTCACAGGGACCACGGGCAGCCCTGGTCCCTCCACTGTCTGCCAAGCCCAGCTGCCGTGTGGTTGCTGGCTGCATCTTCAGCTGTAGCCACTTAATTCTGCCTGGGAAGTCCAGGCAGGCATCTTGAGTCTAGAGTAGTTCCAGGGGGGATCTGGAAGCCAGGGGTACTGGGGACCTATTGGCGGTGTCTGTGAGCTCCGGTCTCTGCGTGTCACATGGATTCAGGCATCTTGCTAGGCATGTGGGGCTGAGTACTTGATCACCTCACTCTGAGCTCTGGTCTCCTGGCCTGGAGAGCAGGACGCGTGGGGTGTTGGGGGCACATGAGGCCCCTGGACTGGGCACATGCCCGGCTCAAGCGGCTGCTGTGCTTCTGGGGGCGTGCTCGGGTCAGGTCGCTGCGCCCCCGTTAGCCGTGCAGCTGCCGGGTGGGGCCTGCCTCAGCCGACCCAGCCAGTGTCCAGCCCCAAGATCTCCTTTCTCCCTCCACAGGCCTCTCCCGCATCCTGCGCAGCCGGGCAGAGATGGCCCAGAAGCAGACAGTGGACTGGGCACTGGCCGAGTACATGGCCTTTGGCTCCTTGCTGAAGGAGGGCATCCATGTGCGGCTCAGTGGGCAGGACGTGGAGCGGGGCACCTTCAGGTGAGGCAGGCTCTGGTCTCGTCCCCTGGCTGCACTGCTGTCCCCAGGTCTGGTGAGGCCTTTGAAGCCCCTCCCACCATCGTCCCAGCCCCACCTGCTGGGTGGTCAGGGCTGGTGACCACACTGGGCTTGTGGCTGTCTCTGGTCCTCAGGGTCCTTTGTTTTCACTTTTTGGTAAACTGCTGTCAGGCCAGCCTGTCTTGCTGGTTGAGTGTTGGGATTCAGATGGGGACTTCACTGCCCCTTGTCCCGTCACAGTCCCTCTGGTTTGAGACTTGGGAGCTTCACACTGAGTTATCAAGTCATGGTGGTGTGGCTTCTGGGGAGGCTGTCTTTCCACATCCAGCCAGGGCCCTAGGTGGCCACTGTGTTCTCTGGGCCACGTGGAGGTCCCTACCAGGACTTTGGGTTTTCCAAGTGGTGCCTACTGTGCCAGGCCCGGGAGCTGCTCCGTGGTTACCACCCGTCAGGGAGGAGGCTCAGGCCAGCGGGAGGGACAGGGAAGTACCCAGCCCTGCCCTGCTGCCTGGAGGTTGGCAGGGTGAGAAGCTGAGACCTGGAGGTGCTGTGACCTTTGAGTCTTGCTCCAACACCCTCAGTGTGCCATGTAGACAGTGCCAGCTGGGGCAGACAGGGAGGTGCAGAGGGGCCAGGCTGCCATGTCCTGGTGACCTGCTGTGGGCCCTGCAGGTCTCTGGGCACAGTGATAAAGCCTGCCTGCCCCCTGGCACCTGGCGTCCCTGCTTGGGGACAGGTGCCAGCCCAGCTGCCCCCCATCCCACCCTGCGTCCATCTCTCCCCAGCCACCGGCACCACGTTCTCCATGACCAGGAAGTTGACCGGAGGACATGTGTCCCAATGAACCACCTGTGGCCCAAGCAGGCCCCCTACACCGTGTGCAATAGCTCCCTGTCCGAGTATGGAGTTCTGGGTGGGTCCGGCGGGCCCAGGATGCAGGGACCAGAGCGCAGACCCTGGGGGCTGGCATTGGGATGGCCCCACCTGGGGACAGGAGGGAAAAGAGATCCTCAGGGGTCCTGCATGTCCATGGGGGTCTCTGTGAATACCAGAACCCTGTCCCTGGGCACCAGCCATGGGGCGCAGGCAGAGAGCTTGGCAGAACTGCTGTGGCACACAGTCCCCACCTGGCCTGAGCCTGGCCAGCCACCACCATGCTCCCAGTATCTCACCTCCTGTGCCTGGCATCCCGGGAGCCCTATGCCAAGCTCCCTGTCTCTGTGCCCATCCTGCCCGCTGGCCCCGGCTCAGGCATCAGCTGAGCACCCACTCCTGCTGCCTCTTGCCTGCGTTCCTTGTCCCGTCCCTTAGGGCCTCTTCCTCTTCTCTTGACAGCTCTGTACATGGTTTTGGGGGCTCCTCCTGGCACATGATTCCTGTGCCTCCAGCATCTTTAGGTTTGGCTGTGGGCTGGGTGAGGCTGAACCTGCTGGGAAGGATGCCAGCCAGGCAGTCATGCTGAAGAAGGGACTGCTTGGTTGGAGCCTCTGCCTTGGTGTCTCCTGTCCAGGCTTTGAGCTAGGTTATGCGATGGCCAGCCCCAACGCCTTGGTCCTCTGGGAGGCTCAGTTTGGTGACTTCCATAACACGGCCCAGTGCATCATTGACCAGTTCATCAGCACAGGCCAGGCCAAATGGGTGCGGCACAATGGCATCGTGCTGCTGCTGCCCCACGGCATGGAGGGCATGGTGAGCCATGCTGGCGGGTCTGAGTGGCAGGGGACCCTCTGCCCCAGCAGGCACAGGCAGGCTGGGGGCTGGGTGGCTGCTGACCTGCCCCTCACCTCCACCTGAGCACGGAGGGAATCAGGGCCTCCCTGTGGGGCCGAGTTTGGGATGAGTGAGTGGCGCCTGTGGGTCCCACAGCAGGTGCTCCTTTAGGGTGGTGGCCGCTTTCCCAGGCTATTCCGGAAAGCAAGCGGCACGTTGTAGCCTTTTTACCTCTTCTTGCTGCCCTGGAGAACCCCTGTGCTAGCTCCTGTCCCACATTCCTGGTGCTTCTTGTGGCTCAGGCTTCAAGTAAGGGCTCTGTGCCCAAGAAGCCAGCCATTGTCCCCCAGCCTGGGGTCCCTGAGGCCCAGGGCTCTGTCCTATGCAGGTGGCCCAGGCCATCTTGCATTTGCTCACAGGGCCCGGAGCACTCATCAGCGCGGCCCGAGAGGTTCCTGCAGATGAGCAATGATGACTCAGACACCTACCCAGTGAGTGTGGCTGGCTGGGACCCCCCCACCTCCTGGGCCACAGGGCAGCCCACTTGTGAGTGGCAGTGGCCGCTTCAGCCACCCCACCCTACAGGTCTTCACTGAGGACTTCGAGGTGAGCCAGCTCTATGATTGCAACTGGATTGTGGTGAACTGCTCCACGCCAGCCAGCTACTTCCACGTGCTTCGCCGGCAGATCCTGCTGCCCTTCCGCAAGCCAGTGAGTGCCGGCCAACCCGTTCTCCCACAGCGCACTTTGGTGCAGGGTAGAAGGTGGGGCCCTCGTGGGCAGAGCCCCTGGCAGCCCGGCATGTGTTTCCCTCACAGCTGATCATCTTCACTCCCAAGTCCCTGCTGAGGCACCCAGAGGCCAAGTCCAGCTTTGATCAGATGGTGTCTGGTGCGTGTCTGCCCGAGCGAGTGGGGCACCTGCACTGGGGATGCAGCCCTTTGGGACCCTGTGGCCTGTGGTGTGGCTTCTGTGGCTGGGGCTCCCCATCTCTCCTTCTGCCTGAGGCTCTGTGAACCCCACGATAGCTCCTGGCCCAGTCCCATGAGCTGCACTGTGGGGAGGTCAACATGGTGGCTAGCTCACGTCACTTGGGATGAGGAGAGCGCTGGACCCTCAGCCACCAGCAGGGTTGTCCAGCTCTGCCAGGGGTGCCCAGAAGCAAGAGGTCAGCAGTTTTGCTGTTCACTGGGCCTGAGTGTCTTCTATCCATTCATTCATCAGCCACCCGTTTCATTTGTGAGCCAGGCAGACTCTCCTGGCCCTGGGAACTTAATGTCCCCTGTGGGAGCTCTCAACCATTTTGACCTGGGGTTAGGGGTCAGATGAAGTCCCAGAGGACCAGATGTTGAACTGGAGATGTGGCTTGGGGAGAGTCTAGGGCAGGCACGGGGTCCCCAGGATGATGGGAGAACAGTGCAGGTTGTATGGGTGGGTAGGGCCGGGCAGGATGGGCCTTGGCAGCATGGGCAGGAATTTACTTTTCACCTGTGTGTCTGTCTGTCCCTTCTGATAGAGAAAGGTAGCTGAATCAGGCACTTCAGAGTTGAGAGCTTGGCCTGACCGGCTGGTCCTGGCTCCTATCCTGGGGCCTGGCAGCCAGGCATCCCGTGTTGTGGGGTCCTCACCAGCTTCAGTAGTATGAGGACACTGCCGTGGTGTCCCAGGAGGGTTGGCAGCATGCCAGGCCTGGTACACAGTGCACCCTCAGGAAAGGACCAGTGGATGGGCTGTGGGCTGCCGCTGAGGGGAGGGAGCTCAGTGGCTGCCCTCAGTGTTTGGCTTCCTGCCTGGTAAGCAGGCTGGGAGGGCCTGTGGGAGATGGTGCACCTGGAGGGAGCAGTTCTGTGGCAAAGGCCGCATTGATGGTCCATCATGTCACCACCCCTGCCCTTCATGGGTGCTCCCCATCAAATCCCCAAAATCCAGCACCAGGATGTCAGTACTGGCAGGGCTCTGCCTTGGGCTCCTTCTCCACCCATCTCTGTGACATCTCAGGGAAACATCTCTTGCTCCATCTTTTGTGGTCTAAACCTGGTCTGTCCCCGTGGCCAGGGAGAGCCTGGGGACTCTAGGAGCCTGTGCTCCCCTGTGCTGCTGTCCCCATCCACTGCCCCATTGGTCCCCCAGGGACCAGCTTCCAGCGGGTGATCCCAGAAGATGGGGTGGCAGTGCAGGCTCCGGGGCAGGTGCGGCGGCTCATCTTCTGCACAGGAAAGGTGTACTATGACCTGGTGAAGGAGCGCAGCAGCCAGGGCCTGGAGGGGCAAGTGGCCCTCACGCGCCTAGAGCAGGTGTGCCAGGCCCTCTCAGGGTTACAGGGATGGGTGGGGCCTGGCTATGGACAGCGTGCCAGTCGGGTGGAGTGGGGCTTTCGAGGGATTCTGGGTACATGGCCCATCTCCACTGAAGCCCTCTTCCGCCCCCAGATCTCCCCATTCCCCTTTGACCTGATCGCGCAGGAGGCAGAGCGGTTCCCAAGTGCCGAGCTGGTGTGGTGTCAGGAGGAGCACAAGAACATGGGCTACTACGACTACATCAGCCCTCGCTTCATGACCATCCTCGGCCGCACCCGGCCCATATGGTCTCCGCTAGCCCTTGGGGGGGAGGGGGGTGAAGGAGGAAAGGAGGCCTTTGGTTTGTGCCCCAGCCAGAGCTGAACTGTAGAGCCTGCTGCCTGTCTCAGCCTCCTCTGGTAGTCTAACCCTTATGTGCCCTGTCAGAGCCCTCGCTCTCCCTGTGGTGATAGGATCAGGCAGGAGGAGACCAGTCCTCCGGCCGTGGGGAGCAGAGCTGCTCAGGGCCCCTGATGGCCTCTGTTTGTCCTTGGGAAGACAAGGAGGGGCTGTGGCCTCTGTCATCCTCACGGGCGGGTCCAGTGAGGTTGGTGTGGTCGGTTTCTCCCCACTGTCCTGTGGCTAGTGCCCAGGCAGGGAGGCAGGCTTGTGCCATGTGCTCTTCTGGCACTGCTCTTACCCTGCTGTCCCCCTCAGGTACGTTGGCCGAGAGCCTGCTGCCGCACCAGCCACAGGCAACAGAAATGCTCACCTGGTGTCGCTGAGGAAGTTTCTGGACACTGCCTTTGATCTCCGGGCCTTCGAGGGAAAGATGTTTTAGAGTGGGCAAGGCTGGCCTGGATCTTGAGCTGGGGCCTCAGGAGGCTGGGAGGGTGAGCTGCTGGGCCCCAGGACGCGTTGCCTATCAGGCTGGCTTTGGCCTGCATGTCTGTGTCACTGTGGGATTGAGACATCGGATGGGAGTGCAGTTCCTGTGTACCCTAGCACCTGGCCCCTCCTAGACGTGTGTCTTCTGCATCTATGGGGTTCGTGGCCACCCAGAGCCCTGTCGTTACCCCCTCCAGTCCTGTCCAGCCTGACTGCTGCTCGCCCCATCATGTGCACGTGTAGATCCAGAGGGAAGCCATCCTGCGAGCTCTTAGAAGTAGGGCTTTTAGAAGCGACCCATAGTGCGACTGCTGTGCCGTTCATGGGGCACGTTGGCTCACAGGTACCAAAGTGGAAACCAGATGCAGAGAAATAAAAACAATGCTGAGACTTGCCGTCCTCATGCCATATTGTGGGGTTGGAGGACAGTGGTGTGGGAGGGTGGGCTGGGGACAGGAGGGGTGTGTGGAGATCGGGCTGTCCTCCCTGGGGCTCAGACTCTGCTTCCAGGAGGCTGCAGCACAGGGCAGAGGCGGTCTGTCTGCCCCCGTCCCAGAGCACGTCCGCTGTGCTGTGTGCTGGGGAGGGGAGGCTCCAACTTGGGGTCCCGCTGGCTGTGCAGTCAGGGATGGCTCCCTGGGGGAGGAGGCGTGTACAGGGGCGCCAAGGGGAGAGAGGCTCCCTGGAGCAGACCACACGGTCTGGCGTGGGAGCCGCCTAGAGAGGCCCTGGATGGCACAAAGTTTGGGCCTCAGCCTCCGAGCTCTTGGGGCACACTTTGAATCTGAGGGCAGGGGCACTCTAAATGAAAATAAAGTAAACAATTATGGCACAGTGGGTAGTGTGCCCGCTGTGCGCCAGACTCTCTGCGGGATGGCTGGTACCCATGACCAAAGGCTCTTTAGCCTTCACCAGGGTTTTGGGTGAAGAAATCAAGGTCCACACAAAGTTCCTTGCCCAGGGTCACTTGCTGGGAGAGTGGTAGATTTGGACTTGGCTTCTGCCCACACCCTGTGTTGCTCCCTGGAAGTGAGCTCTCCCAAGGGCTCATGGAAGGTGCTGCCTGTGGCAGTGGCCAGTGTGATGCAGCCAAGGGGCACCTGGGCTGGACAGGGAGACCGTGCACATGCTGCTCCTTCTCACCCGAAGCCTGCAGACAGGCCAAGGGAGCTCCTGTGGGGGACACACTCAGACTGCCTAGTCTGGGAAGACCAGGTGCACAAAAAAGGGTTCCAAACTGCAAGCTGGGACTTACCTAGGAAATACAGTGAGCTCACAGGACAAGCAGACTGGCAACTTCAGAGGGCAAGGAGGGTATCACTACTATGAGACAGTAACAGACTAACAATAGTTACTCATATTTAGAAAATGCCAAACATTGCCTAAATATAAACCTTAGCAGAACAGATACAGCTGAGATGAAAAAGAAATTCGGAGCTAAGGCCAAGGAATTCTCCCAAGAAAGTAGCACAAAGAACAAAGATTCATTCAGTTCTTTCCAGACACACGGAGGACACAGAGGTGGCACAGTTCAGATGCGTAGAGCAGGAAACCCAGGAAATTGAGGGAGCTGCTGGGGGCGAGTGTTCCCCACCACCACGCTGCCGCCAGGGGCTGCCAGTGTCCTGGGTGTGGCTTTGCAAGATGGTACCATGGGGAAATGTCACAGACTGCCTGGGGTGTTTCTTAAAACAGTATAGCCAGGCGTGGTGGGGTATACCTCTTATCGCATACTTGGGAGACTGGAGCAGGAGGATCTTTGGAGTTCAAAGCCAGCCTGTACTACATAGTGAGACCCCATCTCAAAAAACAAAACAAACAAAAAAGAAAGAGAAAAAGAAAAGCAAAATATATCTACAACTATATCAAATAACAAAGTTCCATTACCAATGAATTGTTTGTTCCCTGTTCCTGTTATAAGATTTCCTCCTCTAATCTGTATACAAGTCCTTTATCAGATACTGTATATGTTTTGGAAAGATTTTCTCTAAAAATGAAAGATTTTTTTCCCCCAAAGTCATTTATCGTTTTTATTGGCTTTTGTTTTTTGTGTCTGCCTGCCATTCATGGGCTGCTATAACAAAACACTGTAAACTAGGCAGCTTATAAATAACAAATGTGCACTCTTAAGTTCTAGAGCCTGGGAAGCTCATGCCCCAGGCAGTGTGTGGTGGCCGCTGTCCTGGGATGGTGCATCCTGCCTTGTCCCTGCGTGGAGGAAGCAACACATGAGCCTCTGAGGCCTCTTTATCAGCACTGATTGGCCAGGGGTTGTAATTCTGGCACCTGGTAGGCTGAGGCAGGAAGCTTGCCATGAATTCGAGGCCAGCCTGGGCTACGCAGTGAGATCAAGGACAGCCTGGACTACATAGCGAGACCCTGTCTCAATAATAAATAGAAACATTGATCTCATTCAAGAGGGCCCCACTGTCACAGGCTAATCACCTCCCTCAGGCCACCACCTCCTAATACCACACTTTGGGAGTTAGCATTTCTTTTTTTTTTTTTGGTACCGGGGATCGAACTTGGGTCCTTGCCCTTGCGCAGCAGGCGGTAGCATTTCTATATATTAATTTGGGGGAATCCAAATATTCAGATCATAGTAGTGTGCTAACTAAAAACTTTCTAAAACTAACCAACACTGAGTGTGATAGCACAGCCTATAATCCTAGCTATTTGGGAGGCTGAGGATTGCAAGTTCAAGGCCAGAGCAATTTAGCTAGAGACCCTGTTTCAAATTCGAAAAGTAATAGTAAAGGGCTGGGAGTGTTGCTTAGCAGTGGAGCACTTGTGTAGCATGTGCAAGGCTCTGGGTTAAATCTCAGTATCACAAAGTAAATAATAACAAAACTAATGCCACAGAATTTTCTCCTGTTTTCTCTTCTAGACAGTTTATAGTTTTAACTCTTAGGTTTAGATCTCTACATACGCTTTGTGTAATTTTGAATGTGGTGTGAGGAGAGGGTCAACATTTATTATTTCCTAAATGATACTTGACCGATCCTGATTGTTTAAAGACTTGTATTCAATGAATTAACTTGGTACTTTGTATATATAGTCAATTACATAGCACCACAAATGAGAAAAGAGATGCAAGATCACTGAAAATATAAAGTATACTGAGATGATTAAAATCTAAACATATACTAATAAAAGATTAAAAAATTAAAGAAAATCTAATAAAGATTATAGACTAGAAGGCTTAATGCTGTTAAGAATTAATTCTCCACAAATTGATCTGTAGATTCTATACAATCCCCATCTGAATTACGTTGAGCCATGTTATAGAAATTGACAAGTTGACTCTAAATGTACTGAGCTACATCTTTGAAAAAGAGCACAGAAGACTGGCATTACCTGTTTTCAAAATTTATTTTAAAACTACAACAAAAGCCTGTTGAGGTTTTGGTTAGTATTACAATGGATCTGTAGATCTAGCTTGAGAAATAGTATCTTTCAGTTCATTAATATGTTCTCTCTCCACTAAACTAAATTTGTGTGTAAATATTTTAATTTTTTAACCACCATAAATGGCATTTTTAAAATTTCCATTTCTAATTGTTAGGGTATTGAAATGCATTTGATCAGTATACACTGGAAGTAGATTTAGTAATTTTAATAGCTTTCCAAAAGTAAGATTTCTTTGGATTATCTCCAAAGACCATCTTAACATCCACAAATGATGTTTTATGTCCTCCTTTGCAATCTTTATGCATTCTATTTATTTGTCTTGCCTTATTGCCTTGGCTAGGGTTGCTAAACTACGTTGAGAAATTGTTGAGTGGTTTTTTTTGTTTTTGGTACTGGGGTTCGAACTCAGGACCTTGCACTTGCGAGGCAGGTGCAGTGCCACTGAGCTAAATCCCCAGCCCTCGTTGAGAAAGTGTAAGTTGCCTGTACTTAGCGGTAAAACATTCTGTCTTTCATTATGTATGATGTTAGATTTTTGCACTTTATCAGGTTGAGCCAAATTCTTGTTTGCTAAGTGCTTCTTTTTTAAAAAATAAGATTATATTTATGTATATATATGGTGCTTGTCCCATCTGCTAAAATGACTACATAGCTTTTTGCTTATTAGTGTGGTTTGTTGCAGTGAGTTTTTTTTGGTTTTTTTTTTTGGTACTGGGGATTGAACTCGGATCCTTGTTCTTGCAAAGCAGGCGGCGGAACCACTGAGCTGAATCCCCAGCCTATGATTGAGTTTTTTATTAGTGCATGTCTGCAGTACGTGATGACTACACTTATTGTGGGAAGTTGGTATTTGTGGCACACATTTTCATTGTTTTTTGTCCCCTTACCCCTTCCATCCCTCCCTGCTCCTTTTATCTCTTGATCCCCTTCCCATCTGCAAAAGCTCTATTTCCATTTTTTTCCTTTAAATCCTTTTTTTCCACATCCCCTTTCCTTCCCTTCTTCCATCTCTTGTTCCCTTCCCATTTGAAAAAGATCTCACTACTTCCTATTATCTATCTTTTATTTTGCTCTTTATTTATGCTTTGGGTTTCTCATACAAGAGAAACCATGTGATATTTAAGCTTGTGTTTCTGATTATTTTGCTAAATATTATGGTAAATATTAAGTAAACCTTGCATTCCTGGGATAAACCCATGTGGTATGACATGTTACTCATTTTACCTATTGATGGAATTGGTTTACTAAGGTTTTATTATTATTATTGGTATTAGTGTTATTAGTACTACTAGGGATTAGACCCCAAGGCCTTTGTACTGAGCTACTTGGCCAGTGTTTTAAAATTTTTTATTTTCAGGCAAGGTCTCCCTAAGTCACTAAGTTGCCCAGGCTCTAAGGAATACAACCTTTGGAGACAGAGCTTTTAAAGGGTTAAGTTACAGTGAGGTCTTTTGGATGGACATTGGTCCAAAATGGCTAGCAACTTTCTAAGAAGAGTCAATTAGGGAGAAGAGAGAGCAACAAGCCCAGGAGGGAGGCCTCAGGAGAACATGGCCTTGCTGATGACTGGACCTCAGACTTCTAGCCTTCAGGATTTTGAGGAGTTTCTGCAGTTTAAGCTACTCAGTCTGACATGGCCGACCTGAGGAGCCTGAAAAAAAGTTGTTTAAGGGATTTGTCTATTTCACTAAGTGTTTGGATTTGTCACCGTGATATCAGTCATAGTGTTCCTTAGTTGCTCCATGCCTGTGGGTTCTGTAGTAATGTCTCTCCTTTCATTCCTGATCTTGGCACTTTCTGTCTTTTCTCTCACAAGTCTGACTGGAGTTTTACATGTTTTGGGATTCTTAAAAAAAACTATTCTGTGTTTTATTGACTTTCTCTACTTTTTTCATTTTCTATGTCATCTGTTCTCATCTTTATTATTTTCTTCTGCTTATTTTAGGGTGCATTTGCTTTCTTTCCTGTCAGTCACAGCTCACCA